GCTCTTGCAAAGGACTTGTGTTCAATTCCCATTCCCCAGCAACCATTTGTAACTCCAGTTCCAGGGGATCAACAGCCTTCTTCTGACTTCCGAGGGCATTGCATGACACGGGTACGCTTACCTACATGCAGGCAATAATAAAATAAAAATAATAAATAAAATATAAAAAAAAAATTTTTAAGGTGACACCATTTTGAGCCCAAATCCCGTGTGTGTGTGTGTGTGTGTGTATGTGTGCACATGTGTGCCCATAGAGACCAGAGATTGACATCAGGCTCTTCGTACTCTCCACTTGGTTTTATTTACTTCTGAAACAATCTCTCATTGAACCTGGAGCTCATCAGTTAGGATAGGCTGGTTGGTCAATGAACTTCAGGGATCGCCTCCATTCCCCCACCCCTATGATGTGGTCACAGACATTGCACCCACACTGGGTTCTGGGGATCTGAACTCAGGTCCTCGTGTGGCACCGCACAGACTGAACTTATCTCCCCAGCCTTCAGTTCCCTTCTGGCGGGGAGGGGTTGGTGGTGGGGGAGTGGGGGGGAGGGGGTGGGGGCGGGGGGGGCGGGGGGGGGGGGGGTTTGCTTTATTCTCCGCTCCGCTGCAGAGGGGGGGGCTCTGTTGCTTTCTCTTCAGTCACTGAGGAACCTAAGACTCAGGAAGGTTAGGGCATTTTTCCCATGTCCCACAGCAGGACACAGGCAGTCTGGTCCCAGACGTCCTCCCCATCTCAAACTTCTCTTCTCACCTACAGATCTTTGTGGGTCAACCTGGCAAGCCCACAGCCGTGTTTGGTGCTCGCCATTCCTCACTGACTACTTACAGTGTGGCGTTATCTCCCTCAGCCTTTTCGTCCATAATGCTGCCTTAACACCTTTGGACTTTGTGACAAGGACACAGTCCCTGTGGGTTTGGATTTGCAGGAATCCATGACAGGAAACAAAACAATTCAACTAGAAAAACGACCCTTCCTGAGATCATTTTCCTCCTCACCCAGGACTTGTCTCCTGGTACCCTCATGACCCTGTGGTGACATCTACAGGACTAGGATGGCTGTCCCATTTTACAGATGAGAGCCCAGTTATGTACAGAGGGATGGAGTCTGTTGCCTGGGACCCACAGCCTTCAGGTAAGGGGACAAAAGCAGGATTTGAACCAGTGGCCATCAGCCTCTATAGATGCTGCTGCCTGGACCCATTCCAGCAACAATACCCTCTAAGGGGTTCCCAGATTCCCCATCACTTGGGGATCACCACAAAGGGTGCAAATGGCTGCAGACCATTTTCCCAGGTTCCCATTGGCTCTGCCTTTTGGCACAGGCCTGTACTGCTGCATTAAGTGTTCTTTTCTGACTTGTTTGTGGGCAGAAGACGCCTCCAAATTGCAATGAACAGAGGCACCTGGCTCTCCAGGGATCCTTTCGGAGTCCATCTCCCCACCTTGTTTATTTGTGAAGTGGGAGCACAGACACAACGGGGACATGTTTTACATTAAGCCAAGTAGGGGCTTGTGGCATTTCTGTCTGCACTTGAGACATGTTTATACTGCTGGGTCCATTATGAATCTGTTTAATATCCTTCGAATTCTCTGAGTCCTTCCGTCCCTCCAGCCAGGAAGTGCGTAATGTGCGCATAGGGAAAGAAATTTCCAGGCACTCAGAGAACTTTAGGCAAATGAAGACTTTTTTTTTTCTTTAAAAAAGGAGAAAAGCTTGCTGGAAAAAAAAAAAAAAGAAGAAAGAAAAATTAAATTCTTCCTGTTCAAAATGGCTTTTCCACTGGTTCTTTCCTCACAGGAACTTGTCTAGGTCCTAGAGAGATGCTGAGGGAGGGAACCACTGTTTAGGAGGGTATGGGCCTGGTAATGGTGGCATCCCTCTGCCCTGGAGCTCCTGGAGTGAGAACTTGAGGTGAGTGTCCCCTCCCCCAGGGGCCGGGAAAGACAGGGGAGATCGGCAGCCAGGAGTTCAAGGTCACCTGAGGGCTGCCTTTGTTGGCCAGCTGCTGACTCCTGGGAAGCCAGTCAGCTTAATCCTACGGACCTGGGAACAGGTTTCTCACAGGACTGCTGGCTGGAGCAGCTCTCTGCTTGTTGGCAGAACACACAGGTATTATTTTAAGGAGAAAATGGGATTGCTGTTGTTGCTATATTCCTCCGGTAGAAATGGTACCGTGGTACAGCCAGGACTGAACTGAAAGGCCGTTGGTGCCAAGAGAAGGGTAAACTCGTCCCATGAGGGGATGTGGATGTTTCCAGAAGGTGCAGCGTGGAAGAGAAGCTCCACATTTGGGATCCCACGTCCCTTGTCAAAACAGAGCCCTTTGACCCTTCATCTCCTGTATCATCTCTTTCCCAGTTACCTGAGCCCATTCCCATTGGTCCCTCTGCCTTTGTATGTCTCTAACCAAACACTCATCTGTTACCATATTATCTTGAAGCTAGATCAGAAAGCAAATGGGAAAAAACACTTGGTACCTAGTAGGTGCTCATTTAATATGCCCTTCCGGTGCAAACAGGATAGTATATAATTCAGGAATTGTGAGCCTGGTATGTTGGTGCATTTCTGTAATCTCAGCATTCAGCCTGGGCCATGTAAGACCCTATCTCTAAAAAGAAAGAGAGCTGGGCTTGGTGATGTACACTTGTAATCCCAGTGATGGGAGCATGGAGACAGAGGGAGCCCTAGGACTCACTGGCCAGCTAACCTAGATAAATCAATGAACCCGGGCCAGTGACACACTACCTCAAAAACCAAGGCAGAGGCCAGTGAGATGGCTCATTGGGTAAAGAAGGCTTGCTGTCAAGCCTAATGATATGAGTTTGATCCCCAGGACCCACATGATGGAAAGAGAGAATTAAGAGAGAATTAACTCTTGCAAGTTATCCTCTGACCACCACATGAGAAATTTGGCACACATATGCCCACACATATATGTATACACAATAGAAATAAATAAATGTAATTTTTTTTAAAAATTTAAGGTGAGTTGTTGGTGAACCCTGCTGTTAAGGTCGGCTCCTCTCTCAGCAGGGGCTTCCTGCCTGACTTACCTGGAAAGTGCCTCCAAGCACAGATGCCTGGCCTTATTTAGAACATGAACTTTGGCATAGTTATCTGCAATAAAACTACCCCCAGGTTTTTTTTATATGATAATTAGGCATTGTCCTACAGCCAGATGATAGGATCCCCCTACCACATGTAAATAAAGCATACTATGAGCACCTATCAGCTGAAGATTTAGCTGCTGCCTCCACACTATATTTTCCCAAACCCCCACTGAATAAATGGAGCTGTATCACTGAATCTGCCTCCCCAGAAGGGCTTTCTTCCATCATGCTCACTGGTCATGCTCGCTGGCCGTCCTGAACCTGTTGGTTGCTTCTGCTCCCTTTGTTCTCATGGGTCCGTGGCCAATGGCCTTCGAGGGGAGGGAGAGACCCACAAGGAGTTGGGCTAGTGGCACAAACCTTTAATCCCAGCACTCAGGAGACTGAGACAGGAAGATCTGTAGTTTGAGGCTAGCCTGTTCACATAGGGAATTCCAGGCTAGTCAAGGCTACTTAGTGAGACCCTGTCCCAGAAACAAACAAAAAAAGGTGAAGGGCTAGAGTGATAACTCAGCAATTAAGAGCACCTGCTGCTGGGTTCAAAACTGAGTTCAGTTCCCAGTGCTCACATTGGGTGGCTCACAACAATCTGTAACTCCAGCTCCAGGGGATCCTATACCCCTGGCCTATGGAGGTACCCTCACACCTGTGCAGTAGTCACACACAGACATACACACACACACACACACACACACACACACACACACAAAATTTAAACTTTCTTTTTAATTTTATTTATCTTTTATTTTATGTGTATGTGTGTATTGCCTGCATGTAGGTAAGCGTACCATGTCGTGCAATGCCCGAGGAGGTCAGAAGAGGCTGTCAGATCCCCTGGGGCTGGAATTATGGACAGTTGTTAGCTGCCATGTGGGAGCTGGGATTCAAACCCGGGTCTTCTGCAAGGTCAGTGTTTGTAACCTCTGAGCCATCTCTCCAGCTCTATAATTTAAAACAATAAAAAGATTTTTTTTTTAAGGTAGACAGCACCAGGCAGGGTGTGGTGGCACACAACTTTAATCCTAGCACTTGAGAGGCAGAGGCAGGTGGATCTCTGTGAGTTCAAGTCCAGCTTGGTCTACATAGTGAGTTCCAGGCCAGCTGGGGCTATAGGGAGACCCTGTCTCAAAAAGACCAAAAATAAAAACCAAAGAAGGTAGACAGCACCTAAGGATTAACACCTGAGGTTGACCTCTGGCCTATACACTTGCATGTGTACATGCATATACACATTGACCCACACATAGGAACATATACACTTTGATGCACACAGAAGCTGCAGTCTACATGAAGACAAGCCTGGGGAAAGGGAGGGAGGGAGGGAGGAAGGGAGGGAGGAAGGGAAACAGTGACAGAGAAAAGGAAAAAGAAAAGAAAAAGTAAATTGTGAGACTTTGGAATTTACAAATGTCGCGTTCCCGCAGGACTCTGGGCAGTATGGAGACTTGGTTATTTGTTGGACCCATCACCAGATTCCTGGCAATGATCTGGGAATGACACAAGTCATTCTGAATCAAGCCCAGAATTGAATTAAGAAGGATTCCAGGGAGCTTGGGGAATTTTCCTGGTCCTTCCCAAGAGTAACACAGCATGGCCAGCAGCCCAGGTCAGAGAGGGCAGGAAATAAGATGCTGCTGGTTGGAGAGAAGCAGCCAGGGAAATGGGGAGTTACACCAGTTGGAAATTGTACAAGGTGAGTACTCCTTGGAGTGAGTCACCTCCTCTAGGACACAGAGCTCTGGTGTGTGGCTACCTCAGGCAAGGCCCTGAAACACCCTCAAACCAACTTTAATTTTCCAGCTATGAATCACAAAGGGGGTGTTATTAACAACAGACCCTCTGGAAGCTTCCTATGGAAGAGCCAAATCCCTCTGTTTCTGTGTCAGTGAAAATGTGCAAGTGCGATCACCATGTCACTGTCGGAACATTTAAATGCTGTCATTTTTTTCTGGCATGGTGGCACACACCTTTAATCCCAGCACTCTGAGGCAGCAACAGGAGGGCTTCTGAGTTCAAGGCCAGCCTGGTCTACATAGTGAGTTCCCTGGCCAGTCAGGGCTACACAGTGAGACCCTGTCAAAAAAAAAAGTTTATCGTTATTGTTTTAAATTTCATATTTTCTGAACTTCCATTCTCCTGGGATTGCCCTGGTATGGCCACGGTGGTGCACAGAGGCTCTATAATGTGAACTTGATTGCTTCAGACTTCATTCCTTGACTTCCTTGGACTATTCTTTGTAGTGCACGATTTTTCTCATTCCAGCTTGTCTCAACTTTGCTAGGGAAAAATCAAAAGGGGTTTGGAGTTATACTTCAGTAAAAGGGACAAAGGATGGACTAAAGGTCTTTGGGACTGGGATGGGGAGAGCAAGGAGTGGTAAGTGAGTGACCTTTGGAAAGGGGCTGAGGTATAGACTGAGAGGCAGGAGCAAAAGAAAACCCAGCAGGGGAGAATTCTGCCATACTCACATGCAGATCTAGCTTAGGCAAGCCAGCAGGACACACTCCAGAGCACATGGGGGCACCCTTCTATTCCTTTCACTGAGTTTTCCCTCATCCTTTAAAATGTTGTCCTTGGACCAGCAAGATGGCTCAGTGGGTAAAGGCACTTGCTGTCTAGCCTAATGACCTGAGTTCAATCCCGAAGACCCACACAGTGGAAGGAGAGAACAGACTCCCAAAAGTTGTTCTCTGACTTCCACACATGTGCTGTGGCACTTGAGTAAACACACACACACACACACACACACACACACACGAGTGAGTGCCACAGTGCACCTGTGTATGGTCACAAGACAACTTGCAAGAGTTGGGTCTCTCCATTGTGTGGGTCTGGAGATGAAATCAGTCATCAGGCTTATCAGGCCCTTACCTGATAAGTCATCCTGCCAGCCAGTTCTCATCTTTACAGCCAAGGCCAGGCCATCACCAAGTGAATCTATGCCAGCTCATGGCAAGAACAGCAGCATACCCAAGATGATGAAGAAACACCTAGAGGACACCAGAATGTCACCTGGAGCCAAGAACAGCTGGACCCTGTGGAGCCAATCAGCCCTCAGTCCTGTGAGTGGAGAAAACACACCAATGCTGGTTGTTGTCAGTCAATGTTTGGGGGTGATTAGTCATTGGACATTACTACATTTAAAACTGATATACGGCTGGGCATGGTGGGAAGAAACCATCTCTTTCAAGGATGGGAATCTTGGTAGATTAACCAGGCTCCAGTCAATGGACCTACACTGAAGGACATTTGGGGACACAAATTAGACTCTATAGGCCTTATTATATATACAATAGAGTACATTAAATTGGGGGGGGCAATAAATGGAGGTGCAGATAGGGGAGGGGATCTAAATACCATCAAACTATATTGTATAAGTTGCAAAAATTCAATTTTTAAAAACGGAGTCAGAGGTGGTAGAGCCATCTGTGGCCATGGAGACGAGAACACTGCTATGGATAGCTGAATGACAGACTAAGGACAGTGCTCAACGGATGCTGAGCAACAAGAGAAAAGAGTGACCCCACCTTCTGAAGCCTCCATGTGAACCCCAGATGCTGAGCTCTTGGACTCTTACAAGAGAGAATAATCAACTTGAGACCTCTGTGAAGGCAGTCAAACCTACATTATGATATAGGAAATGCCATGTCCTTGCCCAGGGCCCAGATGCCCTCAGGAGACAATGGGGCGGGAGCACTAGATAAAGTCCAAACTCATTCATCCATTTTCTCACTCAGAAAACTGACTGGTACCTGCTATGTTCCTGGCTCTTTATTTACCACATTATTTCCCAGTATAGGATCCAGAGTCATCTGCCTGAGTTTAAATCCCAATAAAATTCAGCTGAGCACATCAAAGCCTAGCACAGACCACATTTCTCAGCCTCCCTTGCAGCTAGATCCAGTCATGTGACTGTCACATTCAGTGAGAAGTGAGCAGAGGCACCAAGGGCATTCCCTAGGAGGTAAGAGCTTTGCCCAAGCCACTAGCCATCATGTCTGTGAGCACACAATGGCCTTTTCCTTTGCATCTGCTTCCTTAACTACCTGTGGATCCTCCATCCAAAAAGCTGTTCTTGTTTCTAATACTCCATAGCACAGCACAGTAGGATAACTATGGTTGACAATGACAAAATGAGTATTTCAAAATAGCTAGGAGAAAGAATTTTTAACTTTCACAACACAAAGAAATTACTGGCTATACTGTTACCCTGATCTGAGCATTACTACAACATGTATTGAAATGTCCCACTGGACTCCATAAACACATATAATTAAGCCAGATCTGGTGATGCGAGTCTATAACCTCAGCACTTGGGAGACTGTTGGAGGAATGTTGCAAGTTTAAAGACAGCCTGGGAAATTCAGTGAAAACCTGTCTCAAAATAAAAAGTAAAAATTAGGGCTGGGGATCTAGCTAGATGTGGAGGAAAATGTTCAGCTATTATGTCAATCAAAAATAAAATAAAAATTTTAAGTCAATCTTAGCCAATGAAGGCACCTGCTGCCAAGCCTGACAATCTGAGTTTGATCCTCAGGACCCACATGGTGGAAGGAGAAACTTGTTCCTACAAATTGTCCTCTTTCCTCCATATTCATACTGCGGTACGCGCACACACACACATGCACACGCACACACAGAAATAAGTAACAGAAATAAGTAACAAATAGCTAGATAAATGTAATATTTTTTAAGCTGCTAGGGTAATAAAGCAGGCACACCAATCTTTCCCCTGGGAATTCGTTCCAGCCAAAAGCATATGTGTGGTATTTTAAAATAAAATGAATAAGCCTCAAAGGCCAGTTTCAAAGCTTACTGGACACGGTGAAATGAGAAAGCCAGCAGACCAACTGATGACCAGCAAAGCCAATCAAATCCTTAGAACAAGTGATAACGGTACTTAGAGAAGAATGTGCTGTGCTCATAGAAAAACCCCACAGAGCCCCAAGGCCCTGGTCAGCCATCCCAGTCAATATGTTTAGGGGACCTTCTATGTGCTGAGATCCAAGGAGACTTCTGTGAATGAGACATACTCTGTGCTGGAGAGGAGCTGGCTGTCTGGCAGGAACCATAGGCAAGCCCAGAGGTGCTGATGGTCCAGGGTGCAAAATGCCTCCACAGCAGGTGGGTCATAGGCCTGCAGGGCCCAGTGGAGGACACACCACCAGACAAGGGAGTCAGCTTGGCGCTAGAAGTTATGCTCAAGGCTACAGGCCTGAATTCCTTGACTCATTCATTGTTCCACAGTGCAAGAGAGATAAACTTCCTGACTGGGGCTCTGCTGCCTACCTGGTAGGGGCCTAGAGAACTTGCCTGGCCCCAAGCATGCTCACTGCCATACCTAGTTAGGCAGGCTGAAGTCCCAACTCACCCACTTAGCACTGTGTCCTGAGCAAATGACTTCATCTCTTCTAGCCTGGATTTCCTCACCCACGAGATGTGATAGTTGACAGGAATGAATGACACAATGACTGGCCTATCATGGGAGCTGCACAAGTTCCACTCCCTTTCTACCACTTTGTAAATTAAATCTTATTTTTCAAGGCTGGAGGGCCAGCTATTTAAATAGTTTCTTTGACTGGGTAATGATTTCATCAGTAATCATTCCCAAATTTCAAAGGCCTATAAGTCCAAATGGCAGAAAGGCAGAGGCTCTGAGTTGGAAGCACTCAGTCCAGCCTCCACCCAGAACCTTCCCCACCACTTCCCTACGAGGCACCAGCTTCTGCTTACCACCTCCCCAGCAGTCCTTCCACCACTGGACAGTTCTGACTGCCCAATTGAATGGCCTCCCTGTCATTCTCTCATTCTATCTCATTCTATCTCATTCTCTCTCTCCCTCTCTCTCCTCTCTCTCTCTCTCTCTCTCTCTCTCTCTCTCTCTCTCTCTCTCTCTTTTTTGCCTCTCTCTGTATTGTATGCTCTTATGTGTGCAGGTGTATATGTAACTATGTGCCCACTGTGTGTGCACATGTGGAAGCCATAGGACAACTTTGAGTGTTGTTTCTTGGGTGCTATCCACATTTTGTTTTTGAGACAGGGTCATTGGCCTGGAGCTTGCCAAGTAGGCTAGTGTGTCTGGCCAATATGAAGGTAGCATGCATGGGACCAGATCAGCTGCCTGGGCCCCTCCTAGGTGGACAGCGCCCTAGGCCAGATGGGGCTCAGGTCTCTTGGACTCCACTTGTCTCTGCTTCCCAAGCACTGAGATTATGAGAGTGTATCATCATTCTCGGCTTCTTTAAATATGAGTTCTTGGAACTGAACTCAGGTCCTCGTGCTTGCAAGGCAAGCATTTTACCAACTAAGCCATCTCCCCAGCACACTCCTGCCATTTTCACTCCTGGGTCTACCCTCTGTGTTCACAATCAGCTCCTCATGCATGCCTCCTTAAGGAAGGGTATCTTTCCTCCCTCCTCATGGCCTGCTTCATAGCTCCTTCTGCCTGGGATATGCAGCTTTTCAGGGGATTCCCAAGAAGCCCATTTCCTATACCCTCGTGCAGTCTCTGCCCCTTGTAAGTGGGGCCTTGGGGCTCATTTCTGAACAGAGCAAAAATATTGAAATGTCACTTCCGAGATTAACTGTGTTAGTTACTTTCCTCATTGCTGTGACAAATGTCTGACAAAAGCAACTTCTGGATTGAAAGGTTTGTTCTGGTTCACAGTTTGAGGGTACAGTCCATGATGGCAGGGAAGGCATGATGCAGCTGGTCACATTGCATTGGCACTCAGGGAGCAGAGACAGATGAGTGTTCATGTTCTCCCTTTCTCCTTTTTATACTGTCCAGGACCCCAACCCACGGAATGGTGCCACCTACATCTAACTCCCACCTCAACTAACAAAAACTACAAACTCCCCCACAGACATGCCCAGAGATTTGTCTCCAAGGTGAATCTAGATCCTGTCAGGTCGACAATCAATACAGACCCTAACAGTAGCCAAGACGGTGGCTTCCATCTTGCAATCTTGTTCACTCTCTTCCTCTCTCTCAAAGCCCACACTTTGGGGGATTCAGCTCCCACACTGTGAGCTGTCCTGTGCAGAGTCTCACAGGCCAAGGAAACAATGACTCTGGCCAGCAGCCCTGAGGGTGAACTTCAAAGTAGACCCTCCTTCCTGGAATCTTGAGATGATCACAGTCCTGGGCAACAACTTGACTGTACCTCAACAGACACTGAACAGGACCTGGCTCCTGGGAACAGATAATTAATTTTGTTTTGCTTTTGTTTTTATTTTTGAGATAGGGTCTTTCTATAGCCCCAGTTGGCCTAGACTCAGTATGTAGATCAGGCTGGCCTCAATCCCACAGAGATCCACCTGCTGGGCTTAAAGGCATATGCCACCACATCTAGCTGGTAATATTTTTTAATCATTAGGTTTTGGGATAATTTGTTATTCAGTAATTAATAATTAATACCTGGCCTGACATCTCATTCCTTCAACCTGTATTTCTAGAACCGTCTCATCTCTGCTCATACTTGAACAGATCAATGTCGCTTCTGAACTATAGTGTCAGAATGTACCACAACACTCTAGACATAGTCACACAGCAATACTGCTTCTTCCTATGTCATGGACACTGTCCATTATGCCCACCCCCCTCATCCCAAGATGCCATTAGCATTTTAGTGGGGACCTCTCCCATTCAGTCTGAACTTTGGTTGCCTAAAACTCCTCTGTGTTCCATGAGCTGCAAGGAAAGCCTAATCACCCACTATTGCTGACTTGTGCCAAGTGATTTGTGTATGTGTGCATGTTTATGCATGTGTTCATATGTGCAGGTTCACATGTGTACAGGTGCACATAGAGACCAGAGAACAACCTCCAATGTTGTTCCTCAGGTGCTGCTCACCTTTTTATTTTTAATTAATTAATTTTTTATTTTATGAGTGGTTTGCCTGCATGTAAGTATACACATGTCATGCAAAGCCTGTGGCGGCCAGAGAGAGTGTCAGATCCCCTGGAACTGGAATTACAGATGGCCATGTGGGTACCTTCCACAGTGGTAGGATTCTGCCTTCCCAGCTCTAGGATTACAAGTTCTCACCACCACCATG